TTTCTCTTTGATATTTCAGAGCATTATTTGTTGTGCTGCCCCTGTCCTCTTTTTGTTAAATTAAATCCATTAAATCTTTTTATTTTTCTTTTTTTCTCTTTAATACTTTATAGCATTATTTGTTGTTCTGCCCCTATCCTCTTTTTGTTAAATTAATCCTTGATGATCCTCACTTGAAACTCTTTCTTTAAATCCATTAAATCTTTTTATTTTTCTTTTTTTCTCTTTAATACTTTATAGCATTATTTGTTGTTCTGCCCCTATCCTCTTTTTGTTAAATTAATCCTTGATGATCCTCACTTGAAACTCGTTCTTTAAATCCATTATATCTTTTTATTTTTCTTTTTTTCTTTTTGATACTTTAGAGCATTATTTGGTGTTCTGCCCCTGTCCTCTTTTCGTTAAATTAATCCTTGATGATCGTCACTTGAAACTCTTTCTTTAAATCCATTAAATCTTTTTATTTTTCTTTTTTTCTCTTTAATACTTTAGAGCATTATTTGTTGTGCTGCCCCTGTCCTCTTTTCGTCAAATTAATCCTTGATAAGCCTCACTTGAAACTCCTTCTTTAAATCCATCAAATCTTTTTATTTTTCTTTTTTCTCTTTAATATTTTAGAGCATTATTTGTTGTGCTGCCCCTGTCCTCTTTTCGTTAAATAAATCCTTCGTTAAATCTTTTTTTTTTCTTTTTTTCTCTTTGAAACTTTAGAGCATTATTTGTTGTGCCGCCCCTGTCCTCTTTTCGTTAAATTAATCCTTGATAATCCTTACTTGAAAGTCCTACTTTTAATCCATTAAATCTTTTTATTTTTCTTTTTTTCTCTTTGATACTTTAGAGCATTATTTGTTCTGCTGCCCCTGTCCTCTATTCGTCAAATTAATCCTTGATTATCTTCGTTTGAAACTCCTTCTTTAAATCCATTAAATCTTTTTATTTTTCCTTTTTTCTCTTTAATACTTTAGAGCATTATTTGTTGTTCTCCCCCTGTCCTCTTTTCGTTGAATTAATCCTTGATTATTTTCTCTTGAAACTCCTTATCAAATCTTGAAAATCAGTATAAGATTTTCGGTCTTAGTAAAGATTTGAAAGAGACCCAGCTACCGCATACATTGAAAGAAATTTCAAAAGGCAGATGTCTGACAACAGCATATCTTGCCTTGAGGTTGAGAATTGAAACTGACAAAAAGATATGTCAAAATTGAAATACGTTAAAAATCTTTCTAATTTGTAGCGATCGATTGCATTTAACGATGGCATTAGACAATATCATTAAAGTTCAAGCTTGTGGGTCAAAAAGTTTTTCATTCAAAGAAACTGCGTACTTTTTGACCTACTAAACAGGTATGAAAAATATTTGACGAGTACCAAAATTAACATCTACTTATCTTTATACTAGAATCTATAAAATTAATACCTAGTAACTCATTTATGTGACAGAAATATAAGATAATGATAAATTTTTAAAAAATTGAGTTTTTCTGTGGTTACAAGAGTCTAAATAAATTGTAGCTGTTGAATTCACATTCCAATTACACAGCTATCCAAATAATGAATGAAAGTTTTGTCACTATCGGAAAGGTACCAATTTTTAAATGTTTTTAAGGAAGATGCTAAAACACTAATCTTGGAAGACTAGTCCCATCTCTACAAATTCTTGTTTTGGCGAGGCTATAGAGTCCCTTCACCATATCTTCTCTTAGATAAGGAGGGGGGCTTCTTTCTCTTTAGAACATATGATTTCAACTCTTGGAACGATATACTGGTTTAGTAAGAGCGTTGTTGGTTCTTTTACTAATGATTTGTTTTAGATTATAAATATTTTAGATATATATATATATATTTGATGTACAATATATACAATTTCTCACCTCAATGTTTGCAGATGCAAAAAGTTAGGACAGATTGTTTATAATTGTCCAAAACACGAATTAACATTTAAACTATTACACAACTTTAATACAACAGCTCAATAAAGGGGATTAGCTAAAACATAGCAAATAGACAAGCCAGGCTACAAAGCGAATGTAAACAAAATAGAAATATTAGCTGTTGTGCGTGAGTGCAAATATATTGTTGAATATATGGCTGATTAAGTGCATTGTCATCTTATAAGTTCATTATACCCTGTCACAATTTCGACAGATCGTTTACCCCACTCCTAAAGTAAACATTAATCGATCTAGTAAGGGAGGTTTAGAACCATAAAGAGGTGTTTGACTTGAGTTTTGTTGGATCTCAACTATTGTAGTTTTTCCACAGTCTGAGTTTTAGAGACACACGTGCTCTAGAGAAGCCAGAGGTTTAATGAACTGATCATCGAAACTGTAAAAGCATTCACTACGATTAGAGAAAATTATTGTTCTTTCTTAGTTTTATTCCCAATCTTGTTAGAAGAGCACAACACATTTAAATTCTGCTCCAAACGCACTCTTTTCGTTGGGTACAATAAGCCACTAACAAACTTACTTCTTCGATAGTTAGAGTACTAGCTTACATTTCACTGGAAGTTATTGGCATAAAAACTAAATATAAAAATAAAATAAGATAGTTTTCGATTTATGTTCTGACGTTGTATACTCTGAAGAGTGTCAGACGAAAAGCTTCAGAAACATGTTTCAAAAATTTGTCTTTTTCAAAGCCATTTTGAAAATGAAATATATAAATATAGCGAAATGATTGTTTCACAGAAAGGCAGTAGTGCTACATCAAATAATGTTATAAAACAATGATAAAAGTCAATTTGGATATATCCTTCTTGTTTGACATTTTATTCGTCAATTATTCTACCCGAAAGATAACAAACTCTTTTTTGACATTTTTTTTTCTCGAAGTTATTTAATATATCAACATATTTTTTTCCCAGGTGATAAATATTTCACTCATAAGTAGCTAGCAAAATATAGTATCGCTGTTGATCTATGCATACAGACAAGAGAGCACTCTCTCATTATTTTGAAATAACATCTTATTATTTTCTATAGGATTACACAGGCCTGCCCTTTCTATATGCTTAATATCCTTATAGACAATCAATTTGTTTGATCACACAACATTTAAACACAATGACACATTTATTATGAACCTTGATAATTTTTTCCTTTCAGGCAAAACGTGCAAATATCTCAACAGTCATTTTACCAGAAGGCAACAGAAAAGACTATGACGACTTGCAAAATTTCATAAAACAAAATTTAGAAGTAAATTTTGTTAGTAACTACGATAAGGTATACGAAATAGTACTGAATTATTCGGAAAGCAATGCAGATCAAGACAACAGCTCGTAGAATTATATATATTATTATTAGCTATTTACTTCCGATTTAATTCTATAAAACATTAAAGTTGGGTATTTTACAATTTTAAATGTAAATCTCAAAACCTGCCTATAACCTTCACCGAGTATATTTAGTATCAGCTTTAGATAATACCCTTGGAGAAGTATGTAATTAATCAAGAAAATAAGATTTGTAGGCAAAATAAACGGAAAAGAAGCCCAGTGTTTCTAAATTATCGATAAGCCGAACGTTATATTTTCCAGATTTTTTCTAGATCCGGGAAACCAGTTTCCTTTTTCAAATGCCAAAAATTTTCAATTCTCTAAATAACAAGATGAATGCCCCTTGCAACACCCGGCGATGCGATAACGTTTTCATCGTTCAATGGGCTAGTCTTCCCTTTGTTCTTTCACTAGATCATTTTGCTTGAAGGAAAACCAAGGATTGAGTTGGGGCTACTCCATAGAAAATAAAAACTACAATGATTAAACAAGTGTGGATTATACACAGGTTTTTATGGTCCTCGTAATGATTTACAAGAATCACATCCCGCAGGTAGACTTTTTATCCATTAAATAGATGGTATACAGTTAATCCGTACTTTATATATGTATAAATTTCATCTGTATTAGCGAATGCGAGAGAAAAATATGAGTCTGACGATCGAGGTCTGAAGTCATCCTTGAGTGATTCCTTCGCAACTTTTATGCCTTGGCTACTTTTGATATCTCTTTTTATCAAAATTTCTTTCCCTGGCTTTTTCTAACAAATTTTAGATAGTTACAGCTACATCAAATTTATTCTCTGATTTTCCATATGGGCCAGTTGTTTGAAAACAGTAAAGATATCTTCTTTCGTCAACACGTATCGACGAAGGAGCTTTACTACCCAGAATGCTATTCGCCTTTCGTGTGATTAAAAACATGGCTTCGAAGAAAGTTGTTTTCGTCATAAGCGGCTCACGTGTTATAGTTATTCCAAGAAAATTGATATTTACTATGCGACAAGATGTTAGATAAATATATTGTAATGTTGAACAGTTAAAGGCCGAAGGTATGTCTTTGTTGCTACTGTTATTTTATAAAGCCATATGATGTTAGGCCAGCTTCTGATCAATCCCTGTGGTGTTTTTAGCGCCGTCTTTTCTGTAAGTTATGTTCTAAAATTACATTGCATGCAATAACTAGAGAAAAAGAGAATTGGGATTATTTCATAGGATTTTGTTCGTGGGTGCTATGCCATGAAGTCACCAACCTAAGTTGCCACTCTCTAGAGAGTGGCAAATATTGATCGCTGTGTCATATAGGGCTCTTGATTGCAATCTCTCAGATTTGTTTTTCAAAATTATTAAAACTCTTTCGAGTAAAAAACTCGTAAAGAGATTAATTTCTCAGGGAAGAAAACAATAAAAAATGAATTCTTTAAATCTAAAAATATTATTTACTTCAGAAGACACTTCCATTGGCATGTCACACTTTTATGCTCGGTGATGTTTTGTGTTTGTTCTTGTCTGTTGTTTGTGGCGTTTAGAATCATTTTGTTTTGCGTGTTATAGAGTGTTGAATAGACTTTAAGCAACAAGAAGGGCTATTTTCTAGTGGAAGTTTCTATCACTTTGTTATCTTAGGTTCTTAATGGATTTTAACCATTCTTCAAATCAGGTGTTGAGCCTTCACTTCCGCATTTGGCTGTTGGTGCCTTGATAAAAATCGATCAATAATCACATATAAAGCCCTATACCAGAGATTCTTAATTATTTTAAATGCCGGGCCAGAAAAACATATAAAATTTCTTCGGGGGCCAGTTGGTTTTCAACTTTTACATACCTTGTGTAGGCTGCTCAAAATGAAACTCAGATCTTATTTTTACCAGGCTAAGTTAGTGTTAAAATAGACAGCCCTTTTATTTCGTGCCTGCCTATCTTATCTACCTTCGCATAAACCCAAAAAATAATTTTCACAAAGGTCTGTAACTTTATGTTTCTTGTACCAGGCTGAGTCAGGAAATTGTTCTATTCTATTTTTAGGCTAGAACGTTCATCGTCCTTAGTCTCTTGTTGGGTCGATTTGAAGTGCCTGAAGTCAGGTCAAGGGACTGCACGGCGTATTTTAAAGAAAGGCCAAAATCTTATGTTTGTGGATGTATTTAGTCAAGGCCACCACCATGGTTGGCGGCAAGAAAAATTTTAGGCTATATTAATCTAGGAATGGCCAGAAACAACACCTCAGTTAGATTTTAACGAGAGAAAATTCAAGGCATATTCTTGACTAGGTCCCATAGTTTCATCTGTAGATATGAAAAAGGAAACAAGGCATTTCCTATTTTGTTATTCCCTTTGGACTAATAACTGTCCATGGAACGCATTTAAAATTTATTACAGAGAAAAAAAATATATCAGAGGGGACAAAGGAAAACCAAAGATAAATTGAATTCCAAATTTTGAAAATGTTGGCAAAAAATATTTTTGAGGTAAAATGTTTTCGGCAGGCAGGATGACATTTTGCTGTGGGCCAGAGATGATCCGCAGTTATAGATATAACTTGATTGATTCAAGTAACAAGGCAGCTTATCCCCACCAGGGAGCTGATGCACCATCCTACCTTAGTTGAATAAAGTATTAGAGGGGAACAGAAACAAAACTTAAAGTGCCAAGTCTACCCTTAATGAAATCATAATAATCTGTTAATTGAATCCTGTTATGTGAATAAGCCCAAACCCCTATGAGGTAAAATTAAAGAGGATTTGAAGAAACACACTTTACTTTAAACCAGAAGGGGAGAGAGGGACAGGAGAAGAGAACAGCCTGGCAAGAGCATACATAAAAATCAAGAAGCCCTGTCCAAAACACTTACTTACACTCTCTGTAACAACTTTCACCCAAGAAAACCCAACTACAACTTCACCATTATTCCCAAAGGCATCAAAACAGCAAATTAAGGCTTAATAGCATAACTTTACACCTAAATTTGATTAATAAAATTGAAAGAAAATAAGAACCCTTAATGATTTCAAACTCTTTAACATCTCTCATCAAAAAAGCTTTGATAGAATTTCATTTGACCAGCAACTAATCTGCTCTGAAGGATTGCAGCTCAATGTAAGATGATTTCAAAAGTCACTATCTCATTTTTCTTTTGTAAGAAAAAAACACAACAATTTTCTAATTATACATACTTAAGTAAATGAAAATTTTATTTGGATATGAATGTAAAAGTGAATCAGCCTTTAAATGTAAAGGTTGATAACCATTACAAGAAATTATTGAGCAAATATTCCAAGACCCCAACAGAATGGTTAAAAGTTTTGATATAAGATTTTTAAACACAGCATTGAAACTAAAAAAAATCAATGCCAGTTTGTGAAAGATTATATACTAAAATTTTGATGATCTACATGATATATAAATTCATGTCTAAATTTGTTTTATGTAGAGTCATAGATATTTGCATCCTGCTTTGATTTCTGTGGTGTTTTGTCTTGATGGGAAAACTTTGGAACCAAAAGCCAGGTAGTTAATTATGATATAGCATTTTGCCAAGAAATATAATTTAATGTATCTTTCAAATCTGATGTATCTTTCATTTAATGTAATCTATCTTTCGAATCAAGTATTTTAAAAAGTATTTTAAAATGTGAAGCAAACTAAAAGAGCTATCAACAAATAAGACTTTTTCCAGTGTATCATATGTTGTTTCCACCAAAGTTGAATATAATTTTCTTTAAATAAATGCTGTCTTGATGATAGAAACAGCCCTCCTTGCACTCCTGCAAGAAATCAGATAATTTTCAATTCACACTTACCATTTCTTGCTGTCTTCAAAAAGATTTTGCAATCTAAGGACATCAATATCATTTTTAATTTTCTATATTGTTTTAAATCTTGCTTAATTAATGCTCTGAATTTAGTCACTGTCCCTAAAAGAATGTTAATTTTCTGTTTGGGAAACCTCCTTTTCTTTTGTGCCAGAAAAATTTCATCAATTCATCTTTTAAATTAATGTATTTTGCCAAAATGTTCTGTAATTTTCCTTTGTATACTTAGCCTTGAGAAGATTTTGCTCTTTAAAGCATAGCAAAGATGGAAACCAGATTATCTGTGATTAAATTGATCTTTTAATATCAGAGCCTATGTCAGCAGTGATTTGTTAGAGCATAATGGTCCAAGGAATTTTTCCAGCCGAAATGAGAATGATGACTTTATATTCACTCTTGTTGTAGTTATGTTTTTTTACAATTCAGAGGGCTTGGTCCTTAAATATTTTTTAGGGCAAGCCCCAGAATAGCCTCCCTTCATCAATCCCTTGCTGCCCATTGTTTTTAATTTTTTGCTTCATTTATCATTCAAATGTTCCTTTGAATCAATTTTCATTAAATAGTTATAATTTTTGGCAGAATAAAAGTCCATGACATCCCCAAATGAAACCACAAAGTTACCCACTTTCTTCTACTGTTATATAATTTCAAATCAAGAGTAGACAGTCTTGAATTCCTCACAAAATTTTTCCTTTTTTATAGATATTTAGGCCGAGATTGCCATTAATTAAATTTCAATAATAAAATTTCTTTTTCCATAAGATACTGATATTAACATTTATGCATTAGCCCACAAAATGAATATATTATAAAACTTTTCTTCCATCTGCAGATAATTTGTCAACTAATTCTTTACTTCATTTATGGGTGTAGCCTTTAATAAAGGGCGTGTCTGTGTGGATTTCTTATTTTGGCTCCCTCACTGCTGATCTGCTTCATACGTAGCTTGATGTAGGACACAGATGCATATTGTTTTGTGGATTTTAAGGCTATGACTAAAATATTGAAAGTTTAGGAAGAATTTAGGACAATATCCTCACTTGTTTAATTTATCCAAATTCTTGCAAACTAAGCCTGCAATGTGATGCCAATCAAAGTCCAATGTAAATCATTATATATTACTTTTAACTACTGTGACATTACCTTCACTGATGCTACTTTTGAAGATATCCTCTTAGCAACGATACTACCCTTCATTAGGAAAACCAATGTTAATTTTTTGGCAATTCAGTTTTGAAAACAAAATTTTGTTGCTTTTTAGAACGTTGAAAAAATGTTAACAATCAAAAAGCCATCTATGATTTCGATACTTTGATTGAAACGACTTTTTAATTTCAGACTTTCTCGATAACGTTCTCCAGATCTCCTTTACTGATAAACAGTTTGGTTGGTTTTCTTCGGTTTTTTAGGTCTTGCTTTTAGCTCTGGACTCTGTTCTTTTGGACAAAATTCCAGAAACTTTCATTTTCTTAAACTTTATTGAAATATTTTTTCAACTACTCACAATGTTATTTTTTGGTCAAATCCTAGGGCTGACAAATTCCTCTTCAAAGCTCCATCAATATAGCCAGTTGATGCTTTGAACACCTAGAAATTGGATATGAATGGGATCTGGACTAAAACCTTCATAAAAACTTGTATGACTTTTGCAGGTATGTCGGTTCCCTTTCCTTCAAATTCCAAACTTACAAACTTAAATTGCATGGATCCTTGTGCTTTTATTCTGAAGTGCAGACCTTTAATTCTGAAGTGTCAACCTTATACTTTCTAAGGTAAATTTTTTTTTTCAAATTACCATTATATTTCAAAATGTATTTTTTCCTTGAGAATTAAATTCTATTCATGACTTACTATACGCTACTTTTGATGAAAAGTTTCTCACTGTTGTTAGCTTTGTAAAAATAATTCTCTAAAAACCTACTATATTTTTGTTTCCTTCCGCATGAATTTTTTTTTCTAACTTACTGCTGGTAGCTCTTTTGAAAAGCTTCTCTAAAAACCACTTTTATTTTTATTTCCTTGCGTATTAACTTTCGTTTATCACTTACTATAACTTACTCTGCTTTTGAGTTTCTCAAAAAGCCAACATGTCAATTTTTATTGCCAAGTTCCTGTAGAGAGCTTTGCGTTAGTGTTTCCCTAAAAGCCTTTGTTGTTTTTGTTTTATTGCCTACCAATTTTTCAAGCTACGTTCCTGTACGGAGCTATGCTTTAGAGTTTCTCTAAAATCCTTCGTTCTCTTTTTTTGACTGTATGTCAATTTTTATTACTATGTTCCTGTAGGGAGCTTTGCTTTAAAGTTTCCCTAAGATCCTTCGTTGTTTTTATTTTAAGCCTGTAAATTATTATTGCTACGTTGCTGTAGGAAGCTTTCTTTTAGAGGTTCTCTAAAATCCTTCGTTGTTCTTTTATTTCCTGTCAATTTTATTGCTACGTTCCTGTAGGGAGCTTTACGTTAGAGTTTCTCAAAAATCCTTCGTTCTCTTTATTTTACTGCCTGACAATTTTTCATGCTACGTTGGCTGTCGGGAAGCTTAGCTTTAGAGTTTCTGTACGAAATCCTTCGTCTCTTTATTTTACTGTATTGTCAATTTTTATTGCTTTGTTCCTATTAAGGAGCTTCCTTTAGAGTTTCGTCTAAAACTCCTTTTTTCTCTTTTATATTTACTGCTCTGTAATTTTTTTTGTTACGTTGCTGTAAGGGAGCTTTGCTTAGAGTTTCTCTAAATCCCTTCGTTCTCTTTATTTTACTGCTATAGTCAATTTTTATATTATGTTCCGTAGAGCTTTTGCTTTTAAAGTTTCCCTAGATCCTTCGTTTTGTTTTTATTCTTAAGCTCGTAAATATTATTGCGTACGTTGCTGTAAGGAAGCTTTCTTTTTAGAGTTTCTCCTAAAAATCCTTCGTTGTTCTTTATTCCTGTCAATCTTTATTGCTACTTCCTGTAAGGAGCTTTACGTTTAGAGTTCTCAAAAAATCCTTCTTCTCTTTTATTTTTACTGCCTGACAATTTTTCATGCTACTTGCTGTGGGAGCTTTGCTTAGAGTTTCTCTAAAATCCTCTGTCTCTTTAATTTTACTGTTATGTCAATCCTTTTATTGCTTTGTTCCTATAAGGAGCTTTTCTTCCTTCTTAGAGTTTCTCTAAAATCCTTTTATTTTCTCTTTATTTTACTGCCTGTCAATTTTTTTTGTTACGTTGCTGTAGGGAGCTTTGCTTTAGAGTTTCTCTAAAATCCTTCGTTCTCTTTATTTTACTGTATGTCAATTTTTATTGCTTTGTTCCTATAAGGAGCTTTCCTTTAGAGTTTCTCTAAAATCCTTCGTTCTCTTTATTTTACTGCCTGCCAATTTTTCATTCTACATTCCTGTACGGAGCTTTGCTTTAAAGTTTCTGTAAAACCTTTCGTTTTCTTTTTTTAACTGTCTGTCAATTTTTATTCCTACGTTGCTGTAGGGAGCTTTGCTTTAGAATTTCTCTAAAATACTTTGTTCTCTTTTTTTTACTGTATGTCAATTTTTATTGCTATGTTCCTGTAGGAAGCTTTGCTTTAGAATTTCCCTGAGACCCTTTGTTCTCTTTATTTTACTGCCTGACAATTTTTCATGCTACGTTGCTGTAGGGAGCTTTGCTTTAGAGTTTCTCTAAAATCCTTCGTTCTCTTTATTTTACTGTATGTCAATTTTTATTGCTTTGTTCCTATAAGGAGCTTTCCTTTAGAGTTTCTCCAAAATCCTTTTTTCTCTTTATTTTACTGCTATGTTCCTGTTTAATTTTTATTGCTATGTTCCTGTATGGAGCTTTGCTTTAGAATTGCCCTAAGACCCTTCGTTCTCTTTATTTTACTGCCTGCCAATTTTTCATGCTTCATTGCTGTAGGGAGTTTTGCTTTAGAATTTCTCTAAAATCCTTTTTTCTCTTTATTTTACTGCCTGTCAATTTTTTTTTGTTACGTTGCTGTAGGGAGCTTTGCTTTAGACTTTCTCTAAAATCCTTCTTTCTCTTTATTTTACTGCCTGCCAATTTTTCATGCTTCGTTGCTGTAGGGAGTTTTGCTTTAGAGTTTCTCTAAAATCCTTCTTTCTCTTTATTTTACTGCCTGTTAATTTTTATTGCAATGTTCCTATAAGGAGCTTTCCGTTCGAGTTTCTCTAAAATCCTTCGTTCTCTTTTTTCACTTCATGTCAATTTTTATTGCTATGTTCCTGTAGGGAGCTTTGCTTTAGAATTGCCCTAAGACCCTTCGTTCTCTTTATTTTACTGCCTGCCAATTTTTACTGCAATGTTGCTGTAGGGAGCTTTGCTTTAAAGTTTCCCTATGATCCTTTGTTCTTTTTATTTTAAGCCTGTAAATTTTTATTGCTACGTTGCTGTAGGAAGCTTTCTTTTAGAGGTTCTCTAAAATCCTTCGTTATTTTTTTATTGCCTCTCAATTTTATTGCTACGTGGCTGTAGGGTGCTTTGCTTTATTTAGAGTTTTTCTAAAATCCTTCTTTCTCTTTATTTTACTGCCTGTCAATTTTTTTTGTTACGTTGCTGTAGGGAGCTTTGCTTTAAAGTTTCTCTAAAATCCTTGTTTCTCTTTATTTTACTTCCTGTTAATTTTTATTGCAATGTTCCTATAAGGAGCTTTCCTTCAGAGTTTCTCTAAAATCCTTCGTTCTCTTTTTTTACTGTATGTCAATTTTTATTGCTATGTTCCTGTAGGGAGCTTTGCTTTAGAATTCCCGTAAGACCCTTCGTTCTTTTTATTTTACTGCCTGCCTTTTTTTCATGCTTCGTTGCTGTAGGGAGTTTTGCTCTAGAGTTTCTCTAAAATCCTTCTTTCTCTTTACTTTACTGCCTGTCAATTTTTTTTGTTACGTTGCTGTAAGGAGCTTTGCTTTAGAGTTTCTCTAAAATCCTTCTTTCTCTTTATTTTACTGCCTGCCAATTTTTCATGCTTCGTTGCTGTAGGGAGTTTTGCTTTAGAGTTTCTCTAAAATCCTTCTTTCTCTTTATTTTACTGCCTGTTAATTTTTATTGCAATGTTCCTATAAGGAGCTTTCCGTTAGAGTTTCTCTAAAATCCTTCGTTCTCTTTTTTTACTTCATGTCAATTTTTATTGCTATGTTCCTGTAGGGAGCTTTGCTTTAGAATTCCCGTAAGACCCTTCGTTCTCTTTATTTTACTGCCTGCCTTTTTTTCAAGCTTCGTTGCTGTAGGGAGTTTTGCTTTAGAGTTTCTCTAAAATCCTTCTTTCTCTTTATTTTACTGCCTGTTAATTTTTATTGCATTGTTCCTATAAGGAGCTTTCCGTTAGAGTTTCTCTAAAATCCTTCGTTCTCTTTTTTTACTTCATGTCAATTTTTATTGCTATGTTCCTGTAGGGAGCTTTGCTTTAGAATTGCCCTAAGACCCTTCGTTCTCTTTATTTTACTGCCTGCCAATTTTTCATGCTTCGTTGCTGTAGGGAGTTTTGCTTTAGAGTTTCTCTAAAATCCTTCTTTCTCTTTATTTTACTGCCTGTTAATTTTTATTGCAATGTTCCTATAAGGAGCTTTCCGTTCGAGTTTCTCTAAAATCCTTCGTTCTCTTTT